AATTGTGATGTGTCAATGTAGGTTGATCAATGGAAACAAATGTACCACTCTGGTGGGAGATGATTGTAGTAGGGGAGACTGTGGGGGATAGTGGGGAGGGAATACACGGGAAATCTCTGTACCTTCTACTCAATTTTGCTGTGAATCTAAAACTTCTCTGGAAACAAAGCCTGTTATTTTAAAAAGTCACCCCAAATGAACTCATACATTGTGTTAAAAGTGTTTTATCTCAGCCCTTGGGAATATAAAAGGCTGGTTGGAATCTTGTTGATATTTTCGAGTTTGAAACACAAAATCTAAAAGATTTTACACCCATCAACATGAGGACAGTAGCATTTACTTTCTTTTACTCTTCATTTGTTCCAAAGGAAGCTGGAATAGAAAACTGAAATGAGGAATCACCTGGTATGGATGCTTTAGATTAAGGCATCAGAAGGAGACTTGCCAGATTGTATGGTTTATCGGTTTGTGTGGACAGAGGAGATGAGGCTGGGAAGTAACATTGCTAAGACACAGCATCTGCCTTAGTTTTGTTTTCCCTAGTGGCTGAGTCTGAAACAAGGGGTCAAGTCCAAGTCCTTTATTTGGGCAATGAAGGGAACCACAAAAGGGGAATCGAGAGGTAATGCAAGGAAGGGAAAGCAATCAATACACAGTGTCTCATCAACTCAGCCACCCCTGTGGGCAACTGGGGCTTGAGTCTGCTGGGAAAACTATAGGCCAGTATAGAAAAGGCTACAATGGGGGCACCTGTGGCTCATTCGGCTTAGTGTCTGACTCTTGATCTCAGCTCAGGTCATGATTTCACAGTTTGTGAGTTCAAGCCCCATGTCAGGCTTTGTGCTGACAGCAAGGAGCTGTAGTCCACACTTTACAGATGTTCAAAGTGATGTTTGGAGAAACAGGCAACTCGTCTGGCTGGTGAAATTAGCAAGTAAAACTCAAGTTTGAATTTGCTGACTCTAGATCATGCTTCTTCATCTTCTTTTTTACCAGCTTAACTGTCAGTTTCTTTTTTTTTTTTTTAATTTTTTTTTCAACGTTTATTTATTTTTGGGACAGAGAGAGACAGAGCGTGAACAGGGGAGGGGCAGAGAGAGAGAGGGAGACACAGAATCAGAAACAGGCTCCAGGCTCTGAGCCATCAGCCCAGAGCCCGACGCGGGGCTCGAACCCACGGACCGCGAGATCGTGACCTGGCTGAAGTCGGACGCTCAACCGACTGCGCCACCCAGGCGCCCCAACTGTCAGTTTCTTTTTTAAAAAATGTTTATTTATTTGAGAGAGAGATAGAGAGGGAGTGGGGAGGGGCAGAGAGAGAGGAGAGAGAAGATCTCAAACAGGCTTCATGGTCAGCACAGAGCTCAATGTGGGGCTCGAACCCACAAACCATGATATCATGACCTGAGCCGAAATCGAGTTGTATGCTTAACCGACTGAGCCACCCAGGCGCCCGTCAGTTTCTCAAACCACGCAGCAGATGCCGCCACTACCTCAGGCCATGACCCTTCAACCCTTACACATCAGCACTCGGGGCTCTGTGCGGCTGCCAGCACCTGCTCTGCCTCCCTGTGCCCACTGGAAGTACCTCCCTGTGCCCACTGGAAGTACGCACTCCTGGGAGCCACCCTCAACTGGTCACTGACCACTTTAGTGTACAGGGGTTGCTGCAGAAATTTCTCAGTGACCCTGCCCATCAGGGGGAGAGCTCTGGGTTGTGAGTTCTGCCCTGTTTCTCAGACGTCCCCAGCAGGATGAAGCTGCAGGTGCCGCAGCAGTGACCCGCTCAGTAACTTCCTAAGTTACTCAGTAACTTCCTTCACCTTCTTTGTATCGCCACCCCCATTGTTTCCAAGGATCTTCTCCTAAAGAAAGTACTTACACTTGAATCCCTGTCTTAGGGTCTGCATTGGGGGGATCCAAATAAATAAGACTCCTTGTGAAGTGTTATGTTCCCTTACCATTCCAGCCTTCCTCACCAACCCCCTTTCAGTATTCTTTAAAAACCGGAGTCCCAAAAAATAAAAAAAAAAATCACAGCTCCTGGAATGGGATTTAAGCAGATTATTGTGGGCCTGCTAAGGTCTCAGGAGAGCACTAGGAGGGTAACCAGTGCAGTTTATACACTTGCTAAGTTCCATGGGGCTGACCTGAGTCTAGGTATGATTGTATAGTCAAATTGAGACACATTTGAGAACATGAGCAAGTGGGAAACTGGGACCAGTTGAGACTACTCTGGCCAACAGAGTGGCCCTCACATTCCCTTTAAGAGAAAGTAGTAAGTGGAGTGTGGAATATCAGCTTGGCTTGAAGCTTTGATGTGGAGGTGCACATGTCCTTTGGGGCATTGTCTTAGGTGGGGCTCCCTGGAAGTGGGCCCTGAGATGATAATCTGCATAAGTGTTTCATTTGGGCAGGATTCTGGAGAGAAATTGATAAAGGGGAAGGCAGGCTGGGGAGGGAAGAAGAAGTAAAGGTGTAATTTCAGGTTATTCCCACCCTCAACCTGATCCTGTGGGTGGTTCCAGACTGAATTGCACAGAGTTGGCCTTGTCTCAAGGCCCAGGAGTGGGGATTTCACATCTATACCAGGATGGGAACATTAAGCCCAAGGCCCTTCTTGCTTTTTGTGTGTGGGCAGTGGTTCCATTCATACAAGGGCACTGAAGTAGCTTGCAGGTGTGAGTAATAGAGGTGAAGGGACCAAAGTGGGAGATGGGCACACGGAAGTGGTCTAGTCAGCTCAGTCTACCACAGCAAAACACCACAGTCTGGGGGGCTTAACCAACACAAACCTATTTCCTCACAGTTCTGGAGGCTGGAAGTCTAAGACCTACTAGGTGCTAGCAGTTGGTTTCTGGTGAGATCTCTCCTCGGTTTGCAGACATCTTCCTATGGTACTCTCAGTTGGCCTTTCCTCCATTCCCACATACCCCTGGTGTCTCTCCCTCTTCTTATAAGGACACCAGTCTTATTGGATTAGGGCCTCACCCTAATGGCCTGATTTAACCATATTTACCTCTTTAAAAGTCCTGTCTCCTAAGTATAGTCACATTAGGGGTTAGGACTTCAACTTATGGTCTTTGGGTGGCACAGTTCGGTCCATAATAAATGGCGAGAAGGATTTGAGGCCATCTGGGTGAAGTCCCAACAGTGTCTGCCAGTAACTACCTCACTGTACCTTCTTTAGTGATCACCAGAATCCCCCAGTCTTTTTTTTTTCTAAAATTACATCCAAGTTAGTTAGCATATAGTGCAATAATGATTTCAGGAGTACATTCCAGTGATTCATCCCCTGTGTATATCACCCAGTGCTCATCCCAACAAGTGTCTTTCTTAATGCCCCTTACCCATTTAGCCCATCCCCCCACCCACAACCTCTCCATCAACCCTCAGTTTGTTCTCTGTATTTGTCTCTTTTGTTTTGTCCCCTCCTTGTTTTTATATTGTTTTTGCTTCCTTTCCCTTATATTCATCTGTTTTGTATCTTAAATTCATAATAGGAGCGAAGTCAAATGATATTTGTCTTTCTCTGATTTCACTTATCATAATACCTACTAGTTCCATCTACATAGTTGCAAATGGCAAGATTTCATTCTTTTTGCAGAACCCCCCAGTCTTGCACAAGAGCTGTTCCTTCCCATGACTGTACAGTTGGCCATTACTACGTTCTCAGTCTTTAGTCTTCTGCAGGGCTGTGTCACTTCATTAGAGCAGAAGGGACCTCTGAAAGGGCTGAGTCCATGGTCTCCTTTTGCAGGTGGAGGAAACTGAGGCCCTGGGCATGCCAAAAGCCTCCCTGGAAGTCTACCATCTTTGTGGTAGAGTGGGCTCATCTTCCAGACCTCCAGACTCAGCAGGGTATGAAGTCATAGTTTTCATTGGATGCTGTTTCTCTTTATGTGTAGAAGAATGTATGGCTTTCCCTCCCTGCCCTCCATCAGATTTAGGAATTTGCTTCTGGTTCTCAGGGATGCAACGTTTTTCCTGGGGTTAATGGTATTTACACCAGTCTGAGACACCAACTGGCACTCCAGACAGTCGCTGCAATTAAGCTGTTCCATAAGCAAACAGGAACTTATGAAGCTTTTCTGACAGGTTGAATATTTATAAACAGGTTTATCTTAATTCAGATTGCTGAGTCGTCAAGATGGAAATGTGTTTTTTTTTCCTCTTACACAATGTCTTTGAGCTGGGACGTAACTGGAGGTCAGATTTCCAGGGCTGCAGATGGGAGGAGACTTGGTGATTGGGTGAGCTGGTTGCACAGTGTGGGAGAGGGATAGCAGTTCATTCACAGGCAATCCGAAGGACACCTCTTGAGAAATCCCTTTCCCTTAAACCAGAATGGTTCACACTCAGCCTGGGGCTTGGCACTAGCCCTCCTCTTTAAAATTTTTTTTTAACATTTATTTATTTTTGAGACAGAGAGAGACAGAGCATGAACAGGGGAGGGGCAGAGAGAGAGAGACACACAAAATCTGAAACAGGCTCCAGGCTCTGAGCTGTCAGCACAGAACCCGACGCGGGGCTCGAACTCACGGACTGTGAGATCATGACCTGAGCTGAAGTCGGACACTAAACTGACCAAGCCACCCAGGCGCCCCTAGCCCTCCTCTTTAAAGAAGGAACTTGTGTGATAAGCAACATGCTCATTCTTGCACATGCTTTATGGGGACTTCTGTCTGGTGTAGGTAGAGATATGTCATTTCAGCAGAGACATCTTCTCTCCCTCAATCCTGTTTGCCATAGCAAATATCAAATGGGAATAATTTACAGAATGAATTGGTCAATCTACCTAAAGAATTGGAACTTTCTTGTTCTTAAACTGTAAATAAAGTCCCACATCCCAGAAACTCCCTCAGCCCTGATTGGTCACTCTCTTTAGACCAAGAAGAGGAAGACCTTCTCATTGGAATTGCATTACATCCCACAGTAGCCCATTACATCTCCAGTGGTCTTTAGTTTATAGTTCAGCTGGAGATCAATGCATTTGGCTTCTAGAGTGTGACCACCACCTGTACCTCTCCATAACCATTTTCTTCATAGACTTGCTTGTCTCCTCCTGAAAGAAACTCTTCCTCTTCCACTTCACTCCCATCTCCCTCCCCAGATATTGGCTGGGGCTTCTCTGGGCAGACAGAATCCAAGATGGCTTCTCACATGGCTGCCAGCTGGGAACAGATCTGGGTTGTTGGTCGGGGTACCCACAGGTGGCTTCTTTGGAGTGGTGGTCTCAGGGTAATTGACTTAGATGGTAGCTGTCCCCCATCCCATGAAGAGGACCTGTGGAGTTGCAGGACTTTTCCCACCCTGCCTGGAATTGACTCAACACTTCTTCTGCATTCTGTTAACAAATGTGTCCCTGAAGTGGGCCAGGTTCAAGGACAGGAGATGCAGACCCCACCTCTGTGGGAGGAGTGCTGAACAGTTTGCGGACACGTTCTCAAACCATAGCAGAAGTGTCACATGAATTTTTCACATTTTCTGTGCCTTCATGGATATTTTGGTGGAAACTTGGGAGAAGCCAACTAGATGTTGTTTTGAGCCAGTGGAGAATCCATTTTTATCATAATGTTTAGAGGAAGACTCTTCTCTCTGTTGGTTGTTGGTTGGATCCTGGTGTGTGCTCCTGATAGCAGAAGGGAATCAGGGTGCAGCCACACAAGAGGGCTTCCCAGTAACCAGTTAGACACACTCCCAGTACACAGAAGGCAGTTGGGTACATAGTCTACACAAAGACTTATTGAATTCTGGAGTGGACTTGAGATTCTGCATTTTTTAAATTTTTTATTTTTTTTTATTAAAAATTTTTTTAAATATATAAAATTTATTGTCAAATTGGTTTCCATATAATACCTAGTGCTCATCTCAAAAGATGCCTTCTTCAATACCCATCACCCACCTCCCCTCCCTCCCACCCCCCATCAGCCCTCAGTTTGTTCTCAGAGAGCTATGGCTCTCTCCCACTCTAACCTCTCTCTCTCTCTTTTTTTTTCCTTCCCCTCCCCCATGGGTTCCTGTTAAGTTTCTCAGGATCCACATAAGAGTGAAAACACATGGTATCTGTCTTTCTCTGTATGGCTTACTTCACTTAGCATAACACTCTCCAGTTCCATCCACGTTGCTACAAAGGGCCATATTTCATTCTTCTGCGTTTTTTAAAAAGTAGACTCCACAGGGCTTGAACTCACTACCCTGAGATCAAGACAGGAACTGAGATCAAGGCTTGGATGCTTAACTGACTGAGCCACCCAGGCACCTCAAGATTCTGTATTTTAACAAACTGCAAGGTGATACTGATTCGACCACACTTTGAATAGGAGGGGCTAAACCAAGGGTCAGAAACCTTATGGCTTTGTGAGCCAAATCCTGCCAGCAGTATGGCCATAGGTTAAGAATGTTTTTTTATGTTTTTCAAGGGTTTTGAAAGAACAAAGAAGAACATGTGACAGAAGTGTAAGTAGTCTGCAAAGCTCAAAACATTTACTCTTTGGCCCTTTGCAGAAAATGTTTGCTGACCCCTAATCTAAGCTATACAGAATTCACTGTGTGCTGAAGGTGTGGCTTTTCTGCTCTTCAATTTGTCCCAGCTCCTACAACAAGTGTGGGCTTTAGTTTTGGATCCTTGGAACACTCTGCATTAAGCTACTAACTCAAGGATGGCTGAGAACACTCCTCCCCATTTCTCCCTTCATGATTCTTGAACTTACACCTTGTGATCCCTCTCCCTATAGTCCTTTCCCTAGTATTAGGTCAGACTTCAGTGGGAATGTCCAGCCACTAAGCTCCCAGTGTTGCTGGTAAGGCCTGGGCTGGGCTAGGCTGGGGGTGGAACCTATGAGACCCCCAGGGCAGTGGAGGCAGAAAGAAGAGGGTTTTCTGACCTTGAGGTGTATTTTCTAAATAACAAAGCCAAGCTTTCACCCTGCCAGGATTAATTTCCAACATTTGTATCTGCTATATGTAGTTGTGGTCATTTTCAAACAAGGTCCCCAAATTTTTGATATTCCTCACATGGAGAGATTGGTCTGTGTTCCCTTCACTTGAATATGGATTCTGTGACTGCTTGATCAGAACATGGCTGATGTGATTCTCTCACTTCAGTTTTAAAACCCAGGTAGTTTCTTCTCCCTGTTTCTTGGGATGGTCCCTGTTGGAATCCACATGCTGGAAGGAAGCCCACGTGGCCTGGGAGAGGCCACGTGGAGGGGACCAAGGCTCCTGGCCACATGTGGCTGAGCTCCCAGATGACAGGCAATCCCACCTGGGAACAAGGGGAGTCATTACAGTGGGGGGGGCCCCCCCCCCCCGACATGCAGCAGAGATGAGCTGTCCCTCTACACCCTGCTCAAATTACAGATTTGTGAACAAAAAATGGACTCTGGTTGTTTAAATCACCAAGTTCTGGGATGTTTTGCTAAGCAGCAGTTCATAACTGATAGATTTCAATTGAAAGATAATTTTTTTCTGGGCCTGGACTCATGTGACAAGGCTCATGTAATTGTGCCTCTAAGCCTTGGGATATGTCATGGCCCAGGAAACTTAGGGTAAGAGAAAGAAAACACAGACCTGTCCTATAACAGCTGGATGGGTAGGGATCACCTTGATTATCATACACATTTTGTAATTTCCCACTTGCTTTTGGACTGCCTTAATCAAAGACAAGTGGAAAATGCATTTATCACAAAAACAAGGCAAAATAACCACCTACAATGTGCAACACTACATAGAAACCATTAAAGGAGATCCCATCTGCCAGTGTCCCCACTAGGAACAAATAATTTAGCATAGTCTGTTTTTTCTCTTATAAATGGACTTGTGTAATGGGTTTTTCCCCTCCTAGTATTCAGAGACCTGGGGCATACTTTTTCATATCCTAGTGTCCCTTGCTCTAAAACTGACCCTTGGACATCCAGATCGCCAACAGGCACATGAAAAGATGCTCAACATCACTCCTCATCAGGGAAATATAAATCAAAACCACACTCAGATATCACCTCACGCCAGTCAGAGTGGCCAAAATGAACAAATCAGGAGACTATAGATGCTGGAGAGGATGTGGAGAAATGGGAACCCTCTTGCACTGTTGGTGGGAATGCAAACTGGTGCAGCTGCCCTGGATAACAGTGTGGAGGTGCCTCAAAAAATTAAAAATAGATCTACCCTATGACCCAGCAATAGCACTGCTAGGAATTTACCCAAGGGATACAGGAGTGCTGATGCATAGGGGCACTTGTACCCCAATGTTTATAGCAGCACTTTCAACAATAGCTAAATTATGGAAAGAGCCTAAATGTCCATCAATTGATGAATGGATAAAGCAATTGTGGTTTATATACATGATGGAATACTACGTGGCAATGAGAAGGAATGAAATATGGCCTTTTGTAGCAACATGAATGGAACTGGAGAGTGTTATGCTAAGTGAAGTAAGTCATACAGAGAAAGACAGATACCATATGTTTTCACTCTTATGTGGATCCTGAGAAACTTAACAGAAGACTATGGGGGAGGGGAAAGAAAAAAAAAAGAGAGGGAGGGAGCCAAACCATAAGAGACTCTTAAAAACTGAGAATAAACTGAGGGTTGATGGGGGGTGGGAGGGAGAGGAAAGTGGGTGATGGGCATTGAGGAGGGCACCTGTTGGGATGAGCACTGGGTGTTGTATGGAAACAAATTTGGCAATAAATTTCATATTAAAAATAAATAAATAAATAAATAAATAATAAATAAATAAAACTGATCCTTGGGCATTCATTTGTAGGAGGTCTGTTGTAGATGCATTTTGGGGGTGTTTACAGTTCACAGTGAATTCTTTACGCTCCCTCACCCACAGGGGTGGACTGTATTCACCAAGTATGATCCCATGTCTCAGGGCACAGTTGATTGGATTGGGGTGGGGAGGATAGGGAGGTGTTGAGCTCAAACTGTGATTGTGTCTTTGCTGGTAGCAGGGAAGGGGGATTCAAAGAGAAAAATGTAGTCACGTGCAGAGAAAAGCTGGGACTGTGGACAAAGAGAGAATCCTGCCAGCATTCTCCAGGGCTCTGTTTCAGCCCTTCCTGGCCTGACTGCCATTTTTGCTCAGGATGCCCTGGTTCCTGATGCTGAGCCTCCTGTGTTACTTATATCCATTTCTGTTATTTTTCACCACATTGTTGTGTACAGAACTGCTTCCCTAGGGTCATTCTCCTTTATTTATAGATACAAAATGGGTTGTAAGACATGATCTGGGACCACACTTGCCTATATTTGCAGAGCCCTCAGCTAGGTTCAGGGGAGACAGAGATGAGCCCAGCATCTGCTGTGTGCTCTATCTGCCCAGTCCCTGTGAATCTGCAGAGAACTGCATTGTGGGAAGATCCTCCATCCCTCACACGACAAGGTACCATAGCAACCATGGGTGCCTGGTCCCAAGTGTACCAAACTTTGATGTTTTTGGTTCCAAAGAAGAAAATGAAAAGGGCCCTCAAATTTGTTGTCTCCCTTCAAAGGTTATTTATTTTTCATATTGAGGGAAAAATAACACAGTCACTGAGTTCTGTTTTGTAAAGTAGATTTGGGGACATAGAGACCTTTTGAGTAGACCAAGAGGCCCAAATAAAAACACAAATATGTAACTAAAACTCTGAGACTGGTGCATGAAACCCAAGTAACACTTTACCAGAGAGGAGGAAGGAGGAGGGAGGGGTTAAATAGATGATGGGGATTAAGGAGTACACTTGTTGTGATGAGCACAGGGTGTTGTATGGAATTGTTGAATATCTGTGCTGTACACCTAAAACTAATATAACACTGCATGTTAACCGGAATTAAAATTAAAACTTAAAAAAAAAGAAAATAATGGTACTATCAATGCTAAGGGCAGAGGTTGATTAATAAATTAATTAATTCACCAAACAAGTGCCTACTATATCCCAACACTAACTAGGCCAAGGGAGTCTAATTTTTTTTAATGTTTATTTATTTTTGAGACAGAGAGACAGCATGAACGGGGGAGGGGCAGAGAGAGAGGGAGACACAGAATCGGAAGCAGGCTCCAGGCTCTGAGCCATCAGCCCAGAGCCGGAGGCGGGGCTCGAACTCACGGACCGTGAGATCGTGACCTGAGCTGAAGTCGGGCGCTTAACCGACAGAGCCACCCAGACACCCCCTTTTTAAAAAAATTTTTTTTAATGTTTATTTATTTTTGAGACAGAGAGAGACAGAACATGAATGGGGGAGGGGCAGAAAGAGAGGGAGACACAGAATCGGAAGCAGGCTCCAGGCTCTGAGCGTAGGCCAAGGGAGTCTAGGTGTGTGTAAGACACATGTCTCTGCTCTGTGCATCTGTGTGGTCTTATCTTCCATTTGCAGTGTCAACAAAAATGCATGTGCCTGCCTTCCCTTTGCTAGGAGCTTGCAGAAACAGAAGGAAGTATGAGACATTGCTCATTCCTTCCAGGGCCTCATCATCCCAATGGGCATATATAAACTAATGAGATTCAGCATAAAATGGTGTGTTCAAAATCTGCATGGGTCATGTGGGTGAGGGCTGTCTGTGGGACTCAAGAGGGAGGGCCCAGTGGACTGGAGTGATCTGGGAAGCCTTCACGGAGGAGGCAAGTCTTGTCTTATTCCTCAAATAAGATTTTTTTTTTTTTTTTTTGCTGTGCAGAGAGGTGGAGGGAGGGTGTTCCAAAGGGGAGGTTGTTGGAAGTGACACTGTCTCTCCCTATCTCAGCAGATAGATTGGCTGGATGCTGCCCTGGGAAGCCAGGCTAGGTGTGGATTGTGGAGACCCTTTGTAGGGAATGGGAAACCATGACAAGTTTCAGAATAAGGAGTGTCACATACAAAGTTTGGCTCCATAGAGCTTATTCCTCTTGGAGTTAACAAATGTGTGGAGTGCTAGAGGCCAGAGCCCTTTGGAGGTAATAGGCATAGCTAGGGTGAGAAGTGCTAGATACTTCCATGAGTGTTAGGACATTTAAATGGCCTAACCAAAAAATCTGTAGTTGAAAATCTAGAATCACCTTGCCTCCTGAGTCTGCAGGGTTTTCTTCTAGGGAACTGATTTTATTATTTGATATGAGGAAGTTCAGTGCATGCTACTCCAAAATATGACACCTTGGCATATTTGGAATATCTCAAGCTGAAGGAGTTTTAGAAAGGTCACTGTGATCCCTGACCCTGCCCACCCCTCCTCCTTCTTCCCTGAAATAGATCATGAAACTTTCATGTGAAAGATACCCTCCCTGTATCAGGAGGAAGAAAGACGCTCTTATTACTGGAGACTGGCATTTAGGGAGACAAGAAATTTTACAAACAAACCTTGTTAAACTTCTCCTTATCTTTCTAGTTACTTCTTCACCATTTACTACCTAGCCCAAACTACAACAATGTCCAATGATGTTGAGCTGTATTCACCCAAGAGAGGAGACAAGGGTAGTTATATTGTACACAGGGCTCAGAAAACCCAACTGTCAAAGTTGGCTGATCTCACAGTATCAGTACCCCATCTGTGTCTGTGTTCACTGTTCAGTGCATACTGAGGGCTTTTTACTGCAAGTACCTCCAGCTCTCCGCCTGAGGGCATTCTCTGGTATGCTTAGCCAAAGATGGATAGGCTGAAGTTAATACCCCTGGAAATAGCCCTCAGCAAACCATGGTGGTATTTGATAGGTTCATACCCCAACTTCGACACCACTGTCCCAAGGGTGTGCCATGTTCTACAACATTTTGATTGATCCTCAGTTGACCACAGTGATGTCCTGATGTATCTCACATGCTTTGTTGGCTGGCTTCTCTTTCCTGCCTCAAGTCCCTATTCCTCTAGTGGTACTTCCTGGGACCACCTCCCAAATTAACTACTTGCTCTCAAATTCTCATTTCAAGGTCTTTTTTTAGGGATTCCAACCTAAGAAAAATCAATCAAAACTAGATAACTGGTATTCTGTGTCTAGACATTCTCCTTTAGCAGAAAGGAAATTGGAATCACTGATTATAAGACCATGAGTTTTAATTCTTAGCACTTCTGGGGTAGGGGCTCTCTGGGTCACCTTCTCCAATATAGAGAAGTTACTGGTGGCTTGCTGTGGGATGTCCCCCAAGTACCATGCTTGCTCTAGGCCACACCTTCACTTTGAGTGTTGTAGTATCTTCAGATTTCTTTCAATCAAGAGGACATATAGGGACAGTCTGTGAGAATCAGCTTTACACCATTTGTTAACTCTGCAGATGGAAGAGAGTGCATGGGGGCTGTGTGGCATTTGGAAGGAAGGCCAGATCTAGGGATGGAGGGTAGGTGGCAGCAAAGTCTTGGTCATATTCATTGGAACTTAACCTCTTTTCCTTGTATTGAGATGAATTTCAGACTCACCACTCCAGGGGTTTGACATTTTTTTCTAGTCATGACACTGTTTTCAAACAAGCTGACATATCCATCCTTGAATTCAGCACCCTCTGTGGTCATATTGTTTCTGAAACTGTTTATGTGGTCAAGTTGGAAAATTTAAAGCCAAGAAAGAGATGGTTCCAATAAAAGTGAATTAGGGAGGACCCTTAAATATCACAAATCCACCTGTCTGTGCATCTGAGGCTGATACTTTTTATTGTATGTGAATAAGAGTAATTGGTTAACTCCCACTGACTTTTCTTAGTTCCTCTTT